TCAGTTCCTTTTAAGCATAGAAATAGATAAGACATTAACAGAAACAAAATTGTGTAGCAGCAGCCAATCAAATCATTTTTCTTTTGATCAAAGGTTTTTTTAGGCATTCACAGTGTGTGTGTTGTGTTGTCTGTGTTTGTTTACCAGATTCTTTAAAGGACCACACCACATAGTTTTACCAGTCTTCTCTTGTCAATTTTTCAATTCAATTTTTAATTCATCAGTCTTTGTTCAAACCTTTTAATTAATGTTGTATTGTACTATTTATTTATTTATTTATTTTTATTTATTTTTTTTTGCAATTTTCCTTTTTGGTTGCTAAATTGAAAAATATTAATTTTATGTTTCATTAGAATAGTAGTTATATAAAATGACTAAAGGTTCTTAATTGTTTTTTTGCAATATGTGTGAAAGAAATATTATCTGATGTTTTACACTAAGGTAAATTACGGCCACCCCTGAGGTAAGGTAAAATTACGAAACACCCCTCATGTTTGGATAATTACAGTCAACCTCTTCAACTATGATCTTCTTACGCTTCCATCCTTATGATGTCAAATTCAGCCGAATCTTTTAACTATGAAGTTTCTGATGCACAAAAAAATCCTTCATGTTTGGGTAATTATAACTAACCCCTCAACTATGAATCTTCTTACAAGTCCACCCTTCTAGTGTCAAATTCAACATAATCTTCTACGTTATATGGAATCTTCTCTAGTTTATACTCATTTTGTGCAAAAATGCAGTTTCTGATGCACCACAGTCTAATATTTACAAGCCAATAACACATCTTATGATCGTGTTGTTTCAAAATGTAGAGTTCGAATTGGATAAAACGAGTACAAACTGGAGAATATTCCACATAATCTACAAGATGCATTAAATTTAACTCCGCAAGAGTTGACATGTAAGAACATTCATAGTTGATGGGTATGTTATAATTATCCAAATATGAGTGATTTTTTTTGTAATTTAACATAAATCAATTGATAAATAATTTGAAGAAAAAATTTGATGATATATAGGGCAAGTGTTTGGATCAAGAATGTCACAAAATTCCCCCTAGCTATGATATTGAAATTTGGACCATATATGGACAAATACAACATTCTCAAGGTTTATTTCATTATTATTATACATATTATCATTATTTTATTATTTATTTTATTTGTTTAATTTGTGTTCGTCCCCATTAATCCATTATATATAGAATGTTGTGCTGCTTTCTGCTTTGTCTGCTTTCTTACACTTTAAACACTTCACCTAAAAATTGTAGCCAAACTATGTTGAATCATCATAATTGCTTCTCACTTTTACTTTTGTTTTAGACTTTTGAGTGCCTATTATCAATTAATTTATTATTTTTGCCTTATTGAGCCCCCTTAAATTGTTCTTTTTTATACCAAAATTAGGATATGATATTAAAATCACAACCTTTGGTTATTTTATTTCAACATAACATATTACTAAAAAAATCAGTTCAATGTATTTCCTCTCTATAACAATGTTTTGACAAGATTAGGGGTGGAAATCGAAATGATATTTCCGAATTCAACCGACTCTGATTAAAAAATATTCAAATTTGGAACCGTATTTTCAATCGATTTTCTATTTTCTATTTTTTCGAATGGAATTGGAATTGATATAAAATTATCAAAAATTCCTATTTCTGATCCAATTTTAGTTACGGATATTTTAATTATTTCTCAAAATATATGATATAATTTTATGATATATTTTTTTAATTCCATAATATAATGTATTTTATATTTTATATGAAAAATATGGATACCCAAGTGCCAAATAGACTACAACCCCAGACATCATTAATAATAGGGTTGGGACTGGGTTGAGTCGGTCGATTACCAGTCTAAAAACCGACCCATCCGTCAAACTATTTTTGCTCAAATTTAAAAACCATTGCCGACCCAATCTTTGTGGGTCGGTTGATGGTTAGCAACCGAATATTTGGTTCCGAAATGGGTCGGTTGATCGTTTATACCCGCCACCTAGTTCACTTAAAAAAAATTCAAATTTTAGAGTAAAAATATCCACATTTTGCGTAATGCCACGGTGCAATCATCATTTATCAGTTCCAAATAATTAATAACAATTTAAGTCAATTTTTTTTCCTTTGTTGATTGTTTTAAAATTTAAAATACCACTTATTTTGATAATTTGAATAACCTCTTAAGAAAACACGGCCTTTATTTTATATATTTAATAAAATTTTAATAGTATAGATGGATAACCGATAACCATCGGTCGACCAAGTTTTGATAATATTAGAAACCACCAACCGATCCATTATAGATGGGTTGGTTGAAATTTTCGACCCGATCCAATGGGTCGGTTAAAAATTAATTATCCGCCTAAAAATATGGTCGGTAATGGGTCGGTTGGTGGATAAAAACCAACCCAATCCCAACCCTAATTAATAATAAAATAAGGGTAAATTACACCTACGCCCCTGAGGTATGTTAAAATAACTTTAAGGTCCCTATAATACTGCTAATTACAATAAACCCCTAAAACATTGTTAGAGATCCTAACGAATTGTTTCACGGGTGTGGCTGTAGTTATCAATAACATAGGGACCTTAAGATTATTTTACTACACCTCAAGGGTGTAGATGTAATTTAAGCTAAAAGTAATCGATGTAAAGAATAATATAAACCAATGTGCCCTACCCAAAAAGCCCTTTTGCAGCTGACAAATGAAAAGAAAAACAAAAAAAAGGCAAACTTTGTGCATAAATATCACTATCTCTCACATGAATTAAGGAAAGAGAAAAGTGACAAACTATTGAATGTGGGACCCACAAACAAAATCTCTTGTCTCAGACACATTTTTTGCAATCAAATTGGCAAAAATATTTGTTATGTATAACTCATGAGTACATCCTAAAATGATGAAATAAAATCATAATTTTTCTGAACTCCTCTGTTTTATGTTTTTTCCATTATTATTATTATATATAATATATATATATTTTTTTTTTAATTTTTTAATTTTTTCCCATTTTCATTGCTTTTTTGTTAGGCTCCTTTCTCTCTCTTTATCTGCTGCCGTTTGGCTCTATCACTTTCATGGCAAAATGAAAGCTGTTATTGTTTTTAAATGTTTTTTTTTTCCTTTTTTCTTTAAATAACTTAAAATTTTGAATTTTCTTGAGCTGATTTTTACACTTAAAATTAAGGGTAATTTACGAAAACCTCCTTGAACTTAGGCTAAATTACTAAAAACGCCCCTATCTATCCGTAATTATAAAAACACCACCAAATTTTTTTTTCCGTCTTACACTGACCCCCTTATGGTGTAATTTTTCTCGGAATTTTTTTTTTCTAGTTAAAATTTCTCAAAAAATGTCAATTCTACCTCTGTAAACCTTTCGTTTCTTCGTGCTACTTTTTAAAGATAAAAATTACCATCAGATGTGCAGTGGTGTACTGAAAAATTGTGAGTGTGTTATTTAAGAACAAGTAAATATTTTGTGTAAAAGTTATTGGAGGACAATTTACCTTTAAAAAATAGCATAAAGAAATGTCACGTCTGTAGGGATTGAATTGGTATTTTTTGGGAAATATTATTTGGACTAAAAAGATTCCATGAAAAATCACAGTATAAGAGAGTTGGTGTAAAATGAAAACAAACGTCGGAGGATTTCAATATTACGGATATGTGTGAGTAGTTTTCATAATTTAACCTAAGTAAAGGGGATTTTCGTAATATATCCAAAAATTAATTTGTACCTCATTAGTGATATTATGCACGCATATGTGATATGTCTAAGGATGAAAAATGGAAGAAAATCCCTTTTTGTCCCTCAAATTTACCTTGAATTAACATTTGGTCCTCCTTATTCAAAAAAAAAAAAGATTTAGTCCTTCATGTTTCAAAAGTTTAACACTTTTAGTCCTTTCCCGATGAAAAATTATACATATCAAATCATAGATATCAAATCAGAACTAACAGTTTCTGTTTTCGAAAGTGAAGTGAAAACAATCGGTTTTAGGAAAAAAAAGAAAAGAAACTAGAATGAAAAAAACTTATTGCAAACTCGGATTTCTTTATTTTTTTCCGGCATTGACATGGACGGAAATCGGATTTACTATACGTGCAATTTTGGATAAAAATGGATTTTACATAATTATTTTCGAAAACTAAAAAGGATCGAAAATCGAAATTTGATGTATATTTTCCAATTTCATTTCAATAAAATTCAAACACTTAGTTTTTTAAAATTATTAGTGAAAGACATCGAAAATAATAATAATAAAAAAGGATAAATAGCACTTAACCCCTCTGAGGTTTGAACTTAGTGCAACACACTACTCCTCTGTATCTTGAATATAAGCACATGACCCTATGTAGTTTAAACTTTGTGCATATGACCCCATATACTTTTCATACAAGCACATAACCCCCTATAATATTCCATTTGATAAATAATTGTTCATTAGAAAGAGGAATTTTTTGAAAGTACAAGGATGTATGTGCTTATATTAAAATATAAGGGAGTCATGCACTATTTTAAAAATATAAGGGGTTGATATGCACGAAGTGAAATTTTTGAAAGTACAAGGGACCTATGTGTTTATATTAAAATATAAGGGAGTCATGCGCTATATTGTAAATACAAGGGGTCATCGTATACACAAAACTCAAACCACAGGGGAATAAGTGCAATTTACCCAAAAAATCGGTTGAAATTGATAAAAAATATTTGAAAATGCATTCCAATTTTGCCCTCTACGCATGACACAAAGACTCACAGTACACTGCATGCATAAATGTCACTCTGTACAAAGAGGCGGCCTTTTTTCTCTCTCTTTCCCATCAAAAGACTATAAAATAAAATTAAAATTAAAAAAATAAAAAAAAGTTTCTCAAAAGAGCTTATCAGCTTTTACTTCTTTGTCTGCCATTTATTCCCCAATAAATTATTTCACACAAACCTCTGTCACTCCTCTCTCTCTCTATATATGTACCTTCACCCACACTTTCTCTCTCTACAAACCCCCCACTTTCTCTCTCCTCTCAAATTCAGCCACAAAATCCGGCCACAAAAAGCCATTCCCTGGCCTTCTTCCATCACCACAGTATAACCAGTTTCTCTCTCTCTCTCCATCTTCAACCACCATTAAAAAAAATGGAGTAAGTACTGAAAACTAAAACCCTAGAGAGAGAAAGTAAAAAAAAAGTGTTTGAATTAACCAATTTCCGTTTCAATTGAAGAGAGAGGAGAGATGATCTCGTTAACAGACCTGTACCACGTGCTCACCGCCGTGGTCCCACTCTACGTTGCCATGATACTCGCGTACGGCTCCGTCAAGTGGTGGAAGATCTTCACCCCCGACCAGTGCTCCGGCATCAACAGATTCGTCGCGTTGTTCGCCGTCCCGCTCCTCTCGTTCCACTTCATCTCCTCCAACAACCCCTACGCCATGAACTACCGCTTCATCGCCGCCGACACGCTCCAGAAACTCATCGTCCTCGCCGTGCTCGCCGTCTGGTCGAGAACCAGCGCCAGGGGCTCCCTCGAGTGGTCGATCACCCTCTTCTCTCTCTCCACGCTCCCCAACACACTCGTGATGGGGATCCCACTCCTGAAAGGGATGTACGGCGAGAACTCCGGCACGCTGATGGTGCAGATCGTCGTGCTGCAGTGCATCATCTGGTACACGCTGATGCTGTTTTTATTCGAGTACAGAGGCGCGCGTATGCTCATCGCCGAGCAGTTCCCCGACACCGCCGCGTCCATCATCTCCTTCCGAGTCGACTCGGACATACTATCGCTCGACGGGAAGGAGCCTCTCCAGACGGAGGCCGAAGTCGGCGACGACGGGAAACTACACGTCACCGTGAGGAAATCCACAAGCTCGAGATCGGAGATCTTCTCCAGAAGGTCCCACGGCCCCAACTCCGGCGTCTCGTTGACCCCGCGCCCCTCCAACTTAACCAACGCCGAGATTTACTCGCTCCAGTCATCGAGGAACCCAACTCCACGTGGCTCCAGCTTCAACCACACCGATTTCTATTCAATGGTGAACGGGAAAAACGCGAGTAATACTAATATCAGCCCGCGGCAATCGAACTACGGCAACTTCGACGAGGAGAACGGCGGCTATGGAAATCAGCCGAGGCAGGGGAATATCAATACGGCGTACCCTGCACCTGCTAGCGCCGGAATATTCTCTCCGGTGGCGGGGCCCGCCGCCGCCGCGGCGGCGAAGAAGAAACCTAATGGGAATGAAGGTGGCGGGAAAGATCTTCACATGTTTGTTTGGAGCTCGAGTGCTTCGCCGGTTTCTGAAGGTGGGATTCATGTTTTCCGGGGAGGTGATTATGGTAATGAACTCAACGTTGGAGCTCACCCCAAAGGTAATATTAATTAATTAATTAATCAATTTTATTTTATTTATTTTTCAAATATTTTGACCTTTTGATTGTGGTCAAATGTTCATCTGGGATGTTGATTTCTTGATATGCTTATAACTACAGTTGACTATTGGATTGGATTTTGTGTTTACTATAATTACTAAACTCTTTGTTTTGAGTTTTCAATTGCCTTATTTTCATGAGGAAATTAATTATTTTATTTGTTTATTTATTTATTGGGTGCAATAACTGCAGAAGCCCCCTTAAATCTTGGTCTATTTGTCTTCTATATATAGTCTCACATGCCTCAATTTATTTATTTATTTTTTATTTAAAATTATTGTTCGTATGATTTAATCAGATTACGATGATTTCGGGCCGGATCGAAACGGGCCGGTTCTGTCTAAGCTCGGTTCCAGCTCCACCGCGGAGCTCCACCCCAAGAACGGGGGTTTAGATGCTAAATCCACTGCCATGCCGCCAGCGAGTGTGATGACGAGGCTGATTCTGATCATGGTGTGGCGGAAACTGATCAGAAATCCCAACACTTACTCGAGCCTCGTCGGCCTCACTTGGTCTTTGGTCTCATACAAGTAAAAACATACACATTGCATCTTACGTGTAATTAATTAATTCGAGAAAAAAAACTTCGTTAAATTTTTTAATTTATTTTCTTGATAGGTGGCATGTGGAGATGCCTGCGATTATAGCGAAATCGATATCGATTCTGTCCGATGCTGGTCTTGGAATGGCAATGTTCAGCCTCGGTAATTTAGGAAACTAATTTAAACGAATTGATAATCGAGATTATATTATATAAATTAGCAATAATTTAATAAACGGGTTTTTTTCGCAGGGCTGTTTATGGCATTGCAGCCAAGAATTATTGCGTGTGGAAAATCGGTAGCTGCATTCTCGATGGCTGTTCGTTTTTTAACGGGGCCCGCAGTTATGGCTGCTGCTTCGATTGCTGTTGGTCTTCGAGGGGTCCTTCTGCATATCGCAATTGTTCAGGTTTATTACATTACATTACATTCAATACACTATGTACTAAATTCAAATGTATTTTTTTTTAAATTTTTGTTTTATTTCGGAATTTTCAGGCAGCGCTCCCGCAAGGTATCGTACCGTTCGTCTTCGCAAAGGAATACAATGTTCATCCCGATATACTTAGTACCGGGTTAGAATTTGATTTTTTTTTTCCGACGATTAAATAAATTATTTGTTATTGATGGAATTTATTTTAATTGTTGCAGGGTTATTTTTGGAATGCTAGTGGCACTGCCAATCACTTTAGTCTACTACATCTTGCTGGGACTTTGAAGATGGGAATTAATTAATTATCACCAAAGAAAAAAAAATTAATGTGTTTTTATTTATTTTATTTTATTTTATTTTGCTATGGTAAATTGTTTTTTGGGGGGTTTCTAACAGATAGAAAAATCTAGCAGCAGAAATTGCAATCTTAAAAAAATCAAAGAGATTATTGCAGGGGTAGGTAGTATTTAATTAAGTGGTAGTTGTAATAGGAGATAATTATTTTAATTTTGTGCTTTACTGCTTCTTTTGTGAAGTTACTATTCTGCCCCCCCTCTTTCTCTCTTATTACTTTTGTTAGTTTTCATGAAGAACAAGAAGTGTGTATTGACTATTGAGAATGTGATAAAAGATTAAAGTTTTAAATTTTAAGAATTAACTCAAAGAATAGTAAGTTGTTAAAAGTTAGTTTTTGTAAACACATCAATTATATTTTTTAATGATTTTGCCAACACTGCGTAGTTCAATCTTATTGGTAAATTATGAAAACCCCTCTAAACTTCGGTTAAATTACAATAAACGCTCCCATCATCCGTAATTATCAAAATTCATCTGATTCT